GTACTAATAATGGTGGAGCGTGTTACGATACAAAAGAATGAATAAGATTAGAAGTTGCGTATAACATTCGAATGATATACTATGGTTTACAATTTGTTATTCACTTGATGCGAGATCTGCAAGAAAATGAGTTCAATTTAATGCCAAAGATAGAATGCCAACATTTCAGCAGTTTAGAATGTTGCACTGCTTAATTTTTTGCTAGGTTTAATGATGATAGCAGCAGCAAACAATAATTGTTCAATACAGTACATATTGAAATGACAGCAGGTGGAATAAGCGGAAGAATAAACGGTTCTGTTCAGGGCTTGCTAAAATATTGAACTACGATGAGCAACGTGTAACGTTGGGTTAGAACTTGTAGCAACTGCAGTATTCGATAAATATAAATAATCGTTTGTTTGCTGCTTGAAAAATCCCGACTTTCAGAGCAATGTGAACTGGTATACATCAGAAGCACGAAAGCGGGAATCTCAATTTTGAACAGCGATTAATGCAAATAACGACGACAACAAATGTGCAATGGCTGTTGCACCGTAATCTTACAACTTAACGACAAAGACAATAGCGATACTCAGTTAGGAAGGCAGCAATAAAAGCTTAAAGACTAACTTAAAAACAAACAACTGCACACTGTACCACCGGCCAACGAGGTGCGTCAACTAGATGAGTGACTGGCGTACTGCCCTTATACGACAGGGAAGAATAAAACCTTGCAACCATGGCAATAAAAATAGAGAACGTCCACTGAAAAGTCGTGATAAGGTGGCATTTTTTTCAAGTGGAATAGTGAATTACGTCCAGCTGTAAGATATGAAGCAGTTGTTTACATTACCTATGAGAAAACGATCGGTTTATGTTCTTGAGGTCAGAGGCGAAAATTAATGAGTTAAATCTGTTCGTATCGTATGTTTACCATTTTTTATATCTAGAAGTATAAGACTATAGGGATTTGCGTATTGTGGTATATGAGGTTACAGAAGATGTAGATAGTTGCCGCCAAGGCAATGATTAAGTTATCAGTTTAGGGATCCGGCGTAGTAAGCGAATATTAGCGCAAAAAAGACCAGCAAAGAAGACAGGAGACGAATGGATTCAGACAGAAGGAATGCACGAATTCACCAAAAGTCGCAGAGTTGATCTTGGATTCCATTGCAGATCCGCAGCAGAAGTGTTTTAAAGCTGAGAATGGTGTGGACAGCAAAAGTCAGAAACGTGCTGTTAATCTAAGCTAGTCGTGATAATTAAAAAAGCGAAAACAAAGAAATGAAATTGGTTAATACATCATTTATATAATGGCACATGGAGCTACGATTAATCGACGCACAGATATGTACATGCAAATCATCCATATGACGGAATTGGCTACTATACTAGCCAACACCTGAAATGCCACCGCTTACGTTTATGTGTGTAATCGGGTGTTGTTTGAGGTCGAGGTAGTTAATGAATATAGACTGCTTGTCCGAATTTGAACCTATTTGTTTTTGTTACGTAGGATTTGCCATACGTTTTCTTCGAAGTGTGCTGAATCGCCAGGGAATGCAGTGGCGTACTGAATTGGTCAATTTGATGATTAGTCTGTTAAATGCCTGGCAACGACCGTAAATTGTAGCACAGGTCGCCGGTCCGACACACAGGATGTCGATGAATGGAGTGTACATCGTTCAGGGCGAACTGAACTCGGTGGTGACCATTCTGCGCCGCACTTTGCTGACGAGGGACGGAGTTGTCAGCGACGAGGACCCGCTGCTACGGAGCTTCGCCGACCTTCGAGAGGTACTTAACTACGTCGTGGATCTGGCGGATATGGCGCCGAGCACATTCGTGGCACCTTTTCTGGATGTCATCCGCTCTGAGCACACCACTGGACCCGTAAGTATACGGTTGCTCAACCTTAAAGGCCACTAGACTGTCGGCGCTGTTGCAGGCAACCGGACGGGCGTTGATCGCCATCAACAAGTTCGTCACCTACGGTCTGTTGAATTTCAGCAACTGCAAGGTGAACAGCGCGATACTTCAGATAGCCGAAGCTGTCACTCATGCCCGCTTCGTCGGTACTGATCCGAGCAACGACGAGGTGGTGCTCTTGCGGATTTTACAGGTACGTCGTGAAAGTTCAGTCACTGTATTATAACATTGTATGTACTACTATATATGTACCTTGTTTGTATGTGCCATCAGTTATGTTTTTTATTTATTTTTAACTAGTTGTATTTTGATTCAGTTGGCAATAAACCGGGACAAAGCCTTTTGCATTCGTAAAGCGCACGTGTCGAAACATATATTCGGCTGGTTGCCCGGAAACACAGTGATTGCTTTGTTCAAGCGAATTAGCAGTTTATAAGATGGTTTTACGCCCAGCGGGGAATCGAATCTGCACTTATGAACTGCATAACTAAGAAACGAGTTTCATATGAATCCATGCCACCCGCATGTAGGATTGAAATTTTAGCAGCTGAATTACTCGACCTAATGATATCCGACCTGCGTGAAGCGTTTACCTAGGATTTCCTTCAGCATCGCAGTCTATTGCTGTTCAGCTCATATCCTTGGAAGGATCGTAATCAGCATAAACTGTAAAAATGAAATCAGGTCCTCCGAGCATACTGTGCGAGAGTTCGTATAAAAATTTCAAAATTTTAAACTCTCCCATGTGAAACTAGAGCTGTCATACCGACCTTTGGTTCTATTAGCATTCTTACAAATAAGCAACATTGCTACTGCTTTTCTGTACTGACATTTAATATTAATAATGCGGCTACTAGTATCGGTGATTTTCAAAAAAAAAGTTGTCTTCTTTGGGTCGTGGCTGTTTTCAGAGTGTATACTGCGGTACCGCGAATGCGGCTGCTTTCAGAAGAATGATAACCATGTCATTTATCTCGCATAGGTTTTTATTAATGATGGGTCTTTGTGCTGAATTGGTCTCACGTACTGGACGTTGATATCAGCAGATTTACTACTGCACTGTTGGTAGTCTACCTCTCCTCATACCTTTCCTCCGGTACTGAAAACTTTATCAATAGTAATAAAATATTAGTAGCACCACCGTCAGTACTGAAGCAGATTGTGGTTCATGCTAACTTTCTGGCGGTCTCATACTAACCATAACTGATGCAGTTCACCCGACAATCATCATGCCAAAGTAGAGGTACCTCTAGTGGTTTAACATCATTGGTAATGGGCTAAATATCAACATGTTGTTAGTTCTTGTGCTGCTGACACATTTATTATCATCAGTAATAGTACAAATGCCGAGAGTAACAACGTAAATATCGTAGTATTAATATTAGTGGCAGGGATAGTGACGGTACTATATTTTTCTGCAGTATTAACAATACTTCCGGTAATAGCAGCACTGAATGTCATAGATCTTCTAATTCATGATTGGCAGCGAGATAAACATTATCTTTTATGACCGCTTTTCCTTCCGGGTCGCGGAGGAAAGCTCGTCAGACAGTGTGTTTCCAACGTCCTCAATCCAGACAATGGACAGTCCATTGTTTGCACAAAACCGCAGCGACTTCATGCCATTATTGTTGAGGTCGCTAGGGCCGTTTTTAAAAATCACGCCTTTCCACTTTTCAGCGTCTACTCTGACATACGCATTAAAATCACCCGTCAGTATGAGGATCACCCGTCGACAGAGCACACTGCACTTCCTCAAGGAAGGTATCATATTCTCCGTCCAAATTGGGCGCATAGACCTGTACCAAGGTCAGCGCTTTGGCCTGTTGTAGGTTC